GGCCGACCAAGTTCAAGTTACAGAACTGGCAGTTTGCTTTCTCACTTTCCTTCTTTCTCTGGTGAGTGTACATGCTCTGTAGCAAATTTAAAATTAACAATAACGATACATAAAATTAAATAAATAATTATATTTTAAAAAAGAAGAAAGAAAAAAAAGGATAAACACCGGTAAGATGGGATCAAGATAAAGAAAAGGATATTAGAGATGGCAGTTGGAGCAAGTCACAGATAATAAAATACTCTGCACAACATGAGGCAAATAAATTGGAAAACAAAAAACTCTCTAGGGAAAAAAAAATGTACTCGGGAAAACCTGAGTAATCTTTTAACTCCTAAAAATAAACCAAGCCAGGCACAAAAAAATGGTATATGCCTGTAGTTCCAGTAACTCAGGAGACTGACATAGAAGATTGGGAGTTCAAAGCCAGTGTGGGCAACATGGTGAGTCCCTATCTCAAAAAAAAAAAAAAGTAAATAAAATTAAAAGTAAGTAAATAAAGGCGACGAGCAGTTAGTGTCATAATGGCTATATCACTGGACTCTCATGTAGTTGACCGTGGGTCGAGTCCCAGACCCAGTGGCTTAAACTTACGTGGGGTGCATATGTGTGCGTGCCCAAGATCCCGAGAAGAGAATGGAGGAGAAGGGATTGCGGCATGGCCATCCCCCTGGGGGGTGATTTCTCGCTTTCTGTCTCTCTATCTGTCTCTGTCTTTCTGGCGAGCACACGTGTCCTATAGCAAAAACCTCTCCAAAAAAAAAAGAGAAAAAAAGTAAATAAAGTAAACCAGATTAGTAACTGAAGAGGCAGATTCCCTAAGACCCAGCAACTCCACTGGTAGGAACATATTTAGACAGAAATGCACACCTATCCTCCATGCACGCTGTAGGAAACACAAAGAGGAATGTCCCCACATTGTTTGCAAAAGCAAGATCAGGAAACCACCCATGTGTCCATTGACAGACTAGATAAATTGCAATATACTCACACAATGGAATACTACATAGCAGAGAATGAATGGGCTGTACTTCCTAGATTCAATCTCAGTATTTTCTCACATTTTTTTTTTTTGAGAGGTTTTTGCAATAGGGAACGTGCGCTCCCCAGAAAGACAGAGATGCAGAAGACAAAAGGAGAAATCACCCCCCCAGGGGGGATGGTCACACCGCAATCCCTTCTTCTCCATTCTCCTCTTGGGATCTTGGGCATGCATGCACACGCACCCGGCGTGAGTTTAAGCCAGCAGTTCCAGGACTCAAATCATGGTCACTACATGGGAGTCCAGTGACATAGCCGTTACGCCGACTGCTGGTCCCTCTCACAAATTTAACATAGGGAAAAAACAGTGCAAGGGGCCAAGGCAATGGTGCAGCAATAATGCAACTGGACCCACAGGGGAAAGTTCATAGGTTCAATTCTCAGGAGCACACCAGGAACATGTGTGCATGCCCTTGAGGCTGGGGATAGACCATGGTATGAATATCTTATTGGGGGTGCCTGTTTGTCTCTTGTTTCTATCTCATGGAAGAAACTTAAAAAAAAAAAAAAAGTGCAAAAGAATCTATACAATAAAGACCATATTGTTTTTGAACATATACAAATGTTACTTGTAAATGTTGTAAGGAAAACAATGCAATGATTAAAAAAAAAAAAATTCAGAGTACAGGGCTTTCTGCAGGGAGGGGACAGTGAGTGGGCAGAGGGCACACATGAGTTTCAAAAGTCCCTAACGTCCTTAAGCCCAGAGGCAGCTACATTCAGGTCCATTACTTATATTTTTCTTTATGCATTTTTCTTAAAAACAAAAACAACTCAGGAGAGAATCATAGGATGAAAAAGAACCTCCGAAGCAGTTTTTATTCTTCCTGTTCCCTGAACTACTGGATCTGGTTTCTCCTTGGAAAGCTCATGTCACCTCCTCCAAGAAGCCTTCACCGATGACACTGTCTAAAATGGCTCTTCTTCCCCTCAAATACAATTGCCACACCTGACGCCATGTGGTTACTTACTGCCCAACCCCAACACAGGCTCCATGAGCACAGGGACTTTGGGTCCTTACACTGTCATGTCCTCGGATCTGAGTGACATTTGGCACAAGTGAATAAATGAAGTATCCTCACTCTGTGACCTTGGCACTGCGACCCTCTGAGCCTTAGTCTCCTCACTCTACGAGGGAGATAAAAATAGAATCTGACTGGAGCCAGCAATGTGATGTGGTGGTGGACTGCCACATAGCTGACAGTGGTTCGAGTACCAGACCTGGCAGCTTGTTTTCTCACTTTCTGTCTCTCTCTGGTGACCACATGTGCCCTATAGAAAATAATTAAAATAACTGTAATAATAAATGCATATAATTAAATAAATAATTCTTTTAAAAAAATTAGAGGGGCTAGCAGGTGGTGTGGTGGTTAAGGTGCTAAACTCCCATGTGGCCAACTACAGTTCAAAAAGCCCTGGACCTAGTGGCTTGCTTTCTCACTTTCCCTCTCTTCCTCTGTTGAGCACACATGCATTATAACAAATTTTAAAA